ATGCAGAGCTAAAACTTGGATGATATATCCTGATATATTATGAATATATATTATGAATCTAATATCTAATGATTATTATTTTGATTACTGTATTTGGTTTATTCAAATAGAATAGATGAACTGTTCTGAAACAATCAAACCCATAACTTTCCAGTGAGTTCAAAATATTTTTAATTACTTCTATTTGGAATGTGATATCATCATTTAGCATAAGTTAGACCATCACAGTAAGTCTTTCTCTCCAAAGATAGCACTTGAGAACTGCAAGAGTAATCATTGTCCTTAGAAGGTAAGGATTTTAAGGGTTTTAAAAGAATATGTTTGTAAAGAAAAAACAAACGCTAAGTCCGTCATATGCTCTAAAAAACCCTCAAAAATTCAAACAAGTCTTTTTATTATGTTTTTAAAACAAATGTCAGTTTCCAAATTGCTATGATAAACCCATATTTTATTAAATAAACTAATGGAATATCCTCAGGATTGAATCTTCTAGAGGCAAGTCTGTGCGACATTTATGTTTTGGGCAGGGTTTAAACATAAACTGGCCATAGAGTTGTTCAAGCTTATCAGTTGCAGAAAATAAGACACATGGGATTCATTGAATGTAGCAGACTGTGAAAATAACAAAATAAAAACCTATAATTTACAGAAGTTTAAGAATTGATTGCCTTCTTAACTGAATCAAACTTCAGTGTAATCTTATATTTTCCACAGTCTCTTCTCACTGCAAATCCTCCATTTTCCTCATTTCTATTCAGATAATTTTCAAATTGTCAGTTTTCCTATTTTGTGTCTACATAGCTATCTATCTTTGTAGTTAAAAAAAAAGTAATGGGAACATGAACGTTGGCTGCTACAAAGCTATGCACTTGTTTTCTGACTTTACTGGGCACTGTTGTCCTTTAATTGCTAATGTGCTCAGAAAAGTGGTTTTGAGACTATGCAAGTCTTGATGTGCTAGGCTGTATTTGCATATACTGTGCAGCATTGTGACAGACCTCATCCTTTTAGTCACTGGATTAAAAGATTAATGAGGCAAGTTGATAGACTGACAGAAGTAGACAGCAGGATTATATAATGTTCATATCCTTGGGGGAAGGGTGAAAGGAAATAATTTGGGACATTTGTAGAGTTTCAGTTCTTCCAAACACACTTATCAGTTGCCAGACACATTTTGGGAACTGCAGTTCTTTCTGTTTGTTCTTTGTTTTCTGTTTTTTTTTTTTTTTTTTTTTTTTTTTTAATAAAGCCATATATTTAAGCAGGTTCCTTATGTGGTTTTTCAAAGATGTTTTTTGCATGTTTTGATTTTTATTGTTTGTTAGCTGTAGCTGTGAAAAAAAAAATTGGTCCTTAGCTTAGCCTTTATACATAAATATGATTAGTGCACAGAAGCTAAATCTGTACAAGTACACTAGATGAAGCCTATCCTGTAGTCCTTGAGCACAATAGCAAGGTCTAAATATTTACGTAATCTTAAAATTTTTTAACATTTAAAACCGAATGGCCCAACATGCATGTTCAGAAAGATTCCTGGACTGTGATCTGCCTGTTCTGTGCCCAAGCTCAGCTTGGAGAGTGCTTGGGGCACCACTTAGCCTGACTCCCCTAAACACATAAATAAATAAATAAATAAATAAATAAATAAATAAATAAATAAATAAATAAAGTTCCAGAGCCTAGTTTGGCATTAGTAAATTCACTGAAATAGATATAGTTGCTGAAATTCTTTCTTCTTTGCTGCTTCTGCAAACTGTTTGCTTAGAGCAATTGGAAAGAGGGAATAGAAGATACTTTTTTTGTGTGTGAATTAATGCTATTAACAATGCCTGTCAAGATCTACTCATAAAATGTTACACTTCAGAGAAAGTGCCCAAGCTTTAGAAATAGCTCACTTTAGAAATAAAATATTCTTTGTTAATATTTCTGCTTTGTCATTGACTCTGGAGAACATACTTTGTGACTCCATACTTAAGTTCACCCACCTGCAAAATGAAGTTATTATTTCTATTTCCTGCTTTTCAATTTCAGACCCTATTCAACTCCTACTGAACTGAATGATAATACTCTGACGGATTCTGTAGTGTCACAGAAGCTACTGCCCATGAAGCTCTTGTGAGATGCCAGCAGCCAAACCCAGTAAGCATGCATTCATTTCTCAGACAGTTTTAGCTTCACCAACACATAAATAAATAAATACAATAATATTTTCTGCAAGGACCATCAGTGATTTTTCAAAAGGAGATTTCAATATGATAGCTTCTCATCTTCTAAGGAGAGGAAATATATTTGTTTAAAAAGGACAAAATGTGTGTACTAGTGCAGGAAAAGCATTATAAAAAAATAGAGCCTTATACAGGAAAAGGGGCACAATGGAGGGAGGCTAAAGAAAGCTGCCTTGGTAGCTTCTGGCTTTATGTAGCCACAGATAGAAGGAATGATCGTCAACAAGAGGAGCAACAACATGCAGATGGGTTAAGATGGATCCTCCAAAGCGGGTGCTTGGTCTTCGTCTTGGTCTTTGTCTATGAGGCCTTTGTGTGAGGGGAGAAGARGAAGCCTCTGATGGCCTCAGCTGAGGCAGCCAATGTGCCCAGGGAGGCGCAGAACGGGCACTCGTGCT